ATCCCTTTCAAAGGTACGACCCCAATGACCTAAAGACTTCCTACTAGGCCCCTCCTATTAAAGTTTCTACCACCTCCTAATAGCACCAAGATGGGGACCAAACTTTTAACAAATGGGCTTTTGTGTGACATTCAAGATCCAAACAACAGCACTGTTAAGAACAGAGTTTAGCTAACCAAGGAATTAGGCAAGAGTAAATACTCAATTTTTTCATGGAACTGGTTAAATATAAATATGTAAAATATATATAGTTATATGTAATATATATATATATGTATATACACCAATTCTCATTATAGTGATAATTTACTACAATCGAATTTTTCTAAGTTTCCTAAGGGATAAAAGTAAAAATACGTTATGAACAAAGAATTAGGAATCAGAATAGCTTATGATCAATAAAAGAAACTGGTCAGAATAGACTTCTTATAGTGGCAGTACTAGAAACAAGAAGACAGTTGAATAATAATAATATTGGAAGAAAATAATGTCCAACCTAGAATTCTATGCCCAACCAAACATTGATCAAGGAAAGATCAGGATATCTTCAGAGATGTAAGCCTCAAAAATATATCTTCTAGGCACTATTTCTGGATGTGAGCTGCCAAAAATGAGGGGACAAACCATGAAAGATATAGGATATAAGCTTGAAGATAAGAAAATTCCCAAAAGGATGGCAAAAGATGATGGCATTCTGACACTGTGCCACAGAATATCTCAGACATTAGTCCATACTGCAGGAATGGGACACATGTGGAAGAGTATTGTTACGAAGATGCTTCCGGCCTGCAATTCATCTTTTTATCTTGAATGTGCCTCAGTAAGCCTGACCTTGCAGCACCTGGTCAGCTAGGGTTACTTTCTGTTGAGGTTCTAGCCTGTCACTAATGCCTGCTACATGCATCAGCCTGGAATGCTCATTCTACCCCAGAGGAATTCTTACCCTGAAAACTGGAGTTGGCCATGGTGAACGAGAATCAGGAAATACAAAGTAACCTATCGCTCCAATAAGATTCCCATTAGATAGCTGCCATTTGGCCCACATGACAGACCGGCTGAGGACCCAACCTTGGGCTTTGGTCACTCTCATTTGCTGACTTCCACAGATGGGCTGTCATAATACTCATGGAAGCTGAAACAAACTAGCCTATTCCACCCACATCCTTTCTTTGTGTGTGCATGTATGTATGTGTGTGTGTGTGTGTGTGTGTGTGTGTGTGTAGGTGGAACTGAAGGTTGAACGCAAGACTTTTCATTTGCTAGGTAGGTACTCTAACACTTGACCCAAACCACCAGCCCATCACTTGTATTTCTTCTAGAAAAATAGCGACAATATCATTTCTTCTGTTTATATAGCTAAGTATGTGTTTGCTTCTAAACTTTCTGTCACATTTCATAGTCTCTTATATGTAAAAAAAAACACTTAAAAATAACATATTGGAGAAAAATAAATTTTTTCTAATAAAGGGGATTAGAAGCATGAGGACAGGCTTATGAACTAACACAGTGAAATTTAAATAATGTGGATAGTTCTATTGAAGCTGCAAAATTATCAAAGCATATGGCATGAACTAGAAAGAAATTTTCTAAAATTGGTAGTTTTGTAAAAGTGATAAGAACAGGATGATTTTTTAAACATTGTTTGAATTTGTGGCTATATCATCTTTGCAACTGAGAGAATACAAGCACAAATGCATCCTATAGCTCTACAAATGCCATCACACCTGTGAATTGCTCCAGCACACGCTAAGATGTTCACGAAGCCATTGCTATCATATGTATTTACACCTTCCCTCTGTTTCCACTTTCTTTAACCCACCACTCCACTGAGATCCTTTTCTCAAGGTCACTGTAATTCACATCCCAAGGCTGACATTCTGTCTTCACGTTATGTAAACTGTCAGTGTATTTGGCATAGTTGACTATTCCTTTATATTTTCATATTTACCTGTAAATATTTCAGCATGTAGCTCTAAAACATAACATTAAAAAATTCAATGCTATGGTATTAATGTTTGTAAACCACCCACTCCACACACACATAGTTCATTTGTTGAAACCTAACCATCAAGCTGATGGTATAACATGTTGGAGGCTCTTTGGGAGGTGACTGGGTCATGAGGGTTCTGTTCTCATGAATGGAATTGTGCCCTTGAGAGAAGCTCTATTGGCCCCATGTGAGGACACTCAGAAGGTGTCATCTCTGAGGAAGGGGCTCTCACCAGATACTGAATCTGCTAGAGGTTTGGTCTTGTTCCCAGTCTTCAGAATAATGGGAAATAAAATTCTGATTTTTTGTAAATTACTCAGTCTAACATAATTTTGTTATAGCAGCAGGAATGTACTAAGGCAAACAATATAACATAAATCATTGTTATAATATCTAATATAATTAATAATTTTTAATATCAAATAGCTAGTCATTATTCCAATTTTCAATTGTTTTGTGTTATAATCAGTTTCAGCTGAGTTGTGGATTCAAGATCTAAATACAGTCCACACGTTAACCTGAGCCTCTATCACCTCTTACTTGAATTATTGAAATTGCCACCTGTTGTGTGAGTTTCCCAGGGAAACATAGAGGAAACACCTGCCTCTGAATTGGGACAGCACTGACAGATGAAGAATGACTCAAACAAGTCTATCTTGACAAGTAAATGTGTTTAGCTTGTAAGCCCCACTACCCATGAACCCCTACTCCCAAGCTCTAAGTTTATGTGGCACCCAGCAGAGGGCAAACGCAAAACTGGTCAAAGAAGAAATACCAGTTCAGGTACACTGTTCTTGCCCTTATCAGAAATTTCAAAGGTCTCCAGAGAACACTGTCAGATCCTGAGAAGGATGGCTCTGCTTTGCTGCAGTTAGCACCTTGGTACAAGGAACAGATTAATGGTGGCCTGCTGCACACTGGCATTATACTGACTAGGGTTTGGAGAGTCATTTTCCCTGCATGACCTCACTGCTTTCTCTGCTTCTAGCTTTTTTCACTTTCAGCTCATGCTTCACAAAGTGCCTGGAGCAATCCTTTCCCATATAAGTCAGGTCATGGCAGTACTCTGCTCAAAACACTTTCCATTTTTTGAAGGAAAGCCAATGTCCTTACAGCAGCCTTCAAGGTCTCACATTATCTGGTCACCACCCCTGGCTCTCTAATCTTAGCACCCCATCTTGTTCTCCTTATCACTGCAGTCCCACTGGGCTTTCTGATGTTCCTCAGACATGTGGAGCCTATGCTGATCTCAAGACTTTATTCCCGCTGTTCCCTAGAACACATTTCTACCATCTATCCACATGGCTTGCTACCTCTTTACCTTCTGGTTTCTGCTCAAATGTCTCTTTATTAATAAAGTAGTTTACCTTTCCTCATCTCCCCTACCAACCTCAACACACACACACATACCACCCCTCTACTCTCTTTTTTTTACATACTATTTGCTGGTTTGTTTCTTTGTCTTCTCCATTAGATCATAAATTCAAGAAGTCATTTGGTGACCTGGGCATGGTGGTACATGCCTGTAATCCCAGCTTCTTGGGAGGTGAAGACAAGAGAATTGTAGTTTGAGGCCAGCCTGGGCAAAATGTTAGTAAGACTCCACCTCATCAAGCAAGCCGGGCATGAGGCACATGCTTATAATCTCAGCTATGCTGTAAGCAGAGGCAGGAGGATCATGGTCTGAGCCTGGTTTGGGCAAAAGCATGAGACTCTTTAGTTTATTTAAAAAAATAAACTAAAGCAAAAAAATAGGGCTTAGGGCATGGCTCAAGTGTGATGCCCTGGGCTCAAACCCTAGTACCACCACCACCAAGAAAAGAAGCTATTTTCTATTGTTGTGTCATCAGTGCCCAAAACAGCCCCTAGTATGAATTAGGTGTTCAACAGAATGAATGGATAAATGAGTATAAAAACGCAGCATAAGTATTATAGGAAAATTGGTTCTCCAGATATTACTGAATAGTATTTAGGGGAAAAAAGAAGAAATAAATAGTGTTGGAGATTCTCTATTTAGAATATTACATAGATATTTTCTTTCTTAATAGATGGTGGCCAGAGATGCATACCAAGGGGACAGGGATGGAACCTGAGGACCCACCCAAGACAATGTGCTTCATCTCTGAGTGCGAGGTCTTGCTGAGATGTTTTAACAGATGGACAAGCAAGGGAGTAGCAACCTCATCCAACTCACTTAAGTCATAGGAAGATAACTGTTGCTAAACAGATATCTCTTTCCACAAAAAGTTGAAGATTGGAAAGCAATTGAAATGAATAAGACTGAAGATTTCAATTAAAGGAAAAGAGATACAGAAAGGCCTCTTTTCCTTTCAACTGACTCCTTACCTTGAAAAATCCACAGAACCAGGAACTACTTCCTTATTCTTAGCATATTTTATTATTTTAACCCAGGTCAGTACATAAAGGAGCAAGAAATGTCTTCACTTGTGGCAGAAATGGCAGGGGCTAAAATATAATTTTAACCTTAGAAGTTCAAATTTTCATACTTAGTATAGCTACAAGAATGAGTGTGAACCTCACTTCATGCAGTATCATGAAGTAGACAAAAGGCTTGAGGTGAGAAGAGATACAGGAGGAGAAAGTGATGCCCGGTTTCCTTGCTAGGACTTGACCCGTCTGCTTCCCTCTTAAGAAGTGAACACACACACACACACACATCCCTCTGGGGGGACCGCAACCCCCTTGAGAAAAAGTAGGGATTTACAGAGATATTGTGATGTAAAGGACACTGGTGACATTGTGAGGTCAGGGGTTTGACTGAAGTGTTTACCCATGTGAAACACATTAGACTGAAGCCAGCTTTCTTCCTGGCTCACATCCTGCTGACAATTCTTACTCCTCCCCATAAAATGGGATTTTAAGATCAAAGGAATGAGACCTAGGGAAAAAACGAGATAGCAGAGACGTATTGTAAGAACTGGAAGGCTTCCCACATTGGTAAATTTGCAGTATTATTTCTATGCAGAAATAAAAGATTCCCTAAGCTTATATGGACTCCAGAGAGGACAAACGCTTTAACAAGTCACTTCAGATCAACAGTTTCAAAGAAGCCTTGAATGGGTTTAAACAACTGGTTGAACAGACTGCAGCCCAGAAAAAAGATGAAAGAGCAGGATTGCTTATCCAAAAAGAAGGTAAGAACAGTTGGGGCCGTTGATTAGAATTGGGACACGGCTTCAGCAGTCAGAGAAAAGCGACATGGCACCTGAATTAGGGCAAGACCTGAGTATTTTTTCTGTCCTTAAATAGCTAACTGGATTTGGGGAAGCATTTTCTACTTTTCAGAACCTTAGTTGTCTCAATTGCAAAACTAGAGTTCTTCTGTAGGCACCATCATTTGATGGTTTACTGGCTGACCTTATATTCTCAATAGTGCATAGTGACCATGTGGGAAGCCAATGGTGTCACTGTGTTATTCAGATTTCCATCTCTATAACAAAATATCTGGGATAATTGACTTAAGAAGAGGAAAGGTTTGTTTTGGAGGCTTCAGTCCACGGCTTGTTGGCCTGTTGCTTTTGTGCCTGTGGTGAGACAGTATGTGATGGTGAGAGCCTGTGATGTAAGAAGCTGCTCATGTCATGGAAGAGAGAGGAAGGGGCCAGGGGCCAATACTCCTCTTCTTCAAAGGCACATCCTCAATAACCTAACTTCCTCCCACTAGGCTCCATCCTATAAAAGTTCCACCACCTCCCGAAGGCACCATGGGCTGGCCACCAAGCCTTTGACATACACAGGCCCTTGGGGAGCACTCACTCACCCTATCATCTGTTTACCTACAGTATGGTGAGATATAGGATTCTACTGCCTGGGCAACACTCCTCATGTCTCCAAGCAGGAGTGATTTGTGTATGTGGTGGAAGTGGAGAAGCAGAGAAACCAAAACAGAGAGTAAAAGTACATCATGACCATGGCTAGGTGGAAGGAACAGTACGATGTTCAGTTTTGGGATGTTGAGGACAGCATGAAGAGTAAGGTTGAGCCAGGCATGGTGGTGTATGCCTATAATCCCAGTTACTCAGGAGCTGGAGGCTAGCCTGGACAAAGGTAGCCAGACCCTGCTTCAAAAATGGAATAAAAACTAAAGGGCTGGGGGCCTGATTCAAATAGTAGAGTGCTTATCTAGCATGCTGAAGGCCCTGGGTTAACCCAGCAATACCAGAAAAACAAAAGAGTAAGGCTGAATAGCACAGTCAAAGCCAACAGAGCAAACTCTGTTGAAGAAGAAGCAGGGTCCACATACCTGCTGAAGGGACAGCGTGGCCATCTTTTCAGTGTGCCAACCTGTGTAGTAAGATGTAACTAAAAATCTTGACTTTTGGTGTCCAAACCCAAACTGGCATTATTTGACTTACTTTATAAGTCGCTATAATAAATATAATTTCATTTGATTTCAATGTCAATCTAAATAGGCAAATATTACCATTTTCTTTGTGAAAAAATGGGAGGTAGAGATGAGCCACCTGCCCAAGTCTTCCCCGCCTGGGAGTGTTGGAGTATTGTAAGTGTCCGACATTTTAGCTATGCTCTTTTCATCTTGTGATCTAGATTGACCTTTCCAATTAAGTTACAAAGCTTTCCTTTTCTCCTCTGTTTGTTCTGCCTCTCACTGCAATTTATTTTCTGAAACCTCAGCAACTTTTCCGAATCCTCTAGGGGATTTGCGCTCCTCCCAGCCAAGCTTCCTGTATCACAGGAGAAAGCCAGGTCCAAAGACAAGAATTCTCTCAAACTCCCTTTCCTCCAGTTCTAAACTACCTAAAGCAGCACCTGCCTTCCGTCCTCCGCTCCAAGGCTATCACTTTGCTGCAACAGCCACGAAATCTTCTTTCCCACTGGCTTCGTCCTCTCATTCTAAAAATATGCTCCAGCGTCTTGCCCTTGAATTTCTCTTCCCTTTGAGCCACCACTGTGTGTCTCTCCTTTGCTTCTCTGCTACTTTCCCCGTGGCATCGCCTCTTTGCTTCCCACCTGCTCCAGGCTAGCTTCCCTCAGCACTGCTGAAGATGCCATAAACTAATATGATTGCACCCACTTGGTCATTTCACTGCAGTGACCTTGTTAGCTGCTCTGCTTTGAGAAACCCCTGAATCCTTCTCCTCCTGTGTCTTTTGTCACCCCACTCTCTCCTGATTCCTCTTTTTCATTCTGGTTTTGCATCTTTTTCTCATTGAGCTTTGCCTGCTGGGTTCGCACTCAGTCTTACGGTGTAAACACTATCCACCTATCTCCTAAGCAGACATCTTGGTAAAACCTTTGACTATGTCTTGGTCTCTCTCTCCAGTTACTAAAACTGTCTTGCTCTAACAGTCTTCCTACCAAGAGTTATTCCTTTCTCTGTACTTCTGCAGAGAGTTTTTCCTTCAAAAACTGGACCTACTGTAGCCCTGGCTTATTAGCTCACCTTTAAAATCCATGTATACTAACTTGGCACATGGTGACATTCACAATCTACCTCAACCTACCTTTTCAGACAGCTCCTGGCACTTTCCATCTTGTCCTGTTATGAACTTTGCAGCATTTCTAAGTATGCTAGACTTTTTGTGACTCTAATTTTGTACACATCATTCCTCTAATGTAGAGTTCTTTTCTTCCTTTTTTTTTTTTACTGTAAATTTCTGTTCACCTTTCCAGACACAAATCGATTGTCACCTCTTTGCAAAAATTTCCAGACTTTCCCCAAGCACAGCCATTTCCAGCACTGCTAACATACTTTTTGCTGAATGGAGGAATTGACCTGCTGTATTTAGCCTGCTGATATTGATAGGGATGTGTTCCATTCTGTCCCTCCTTCCCTACCACTGACCTAGGAGTGCTTTGAAGGTTTTGATACTATAGAGCCAGCACAGTCTGGTGTCAAGAGGCACTCCTGAAATGTGCACTGAACAAATGAGCTTGCCTTGCTTTCCTTGAGAAGCTTGCAATCACAGAGCTGCATTGGAAATTTCCTTCCTCTATCAAAAAAAAAAAAAGGAAAAGAAAAAGAAAAAGACTAAATACAAGTACTGCTGGACAAATGACCTTCCATGACTGAGAGACTAGTTTAAAAGACTGAGGAGATGAAAAATGGAATCATACCTTACATCAGGCTGCTAATACTGTCTGAAATAAATTCATTTCTATTAACAAATATTGGAAAAACAGGTTACTTTTTTCTGTAGGTTAGGAACTAAGAATTGGAGAGAATTTCCTTCCTTCCTTCCATTCTTCTTCCATTCTTCCTTCTTCTCTCCCTTCCTTCCTCCCTCCCTCCCTTCCTTCCTCCTTCCCTCCCTCCCTCCCTACTTTCTTTCTTTCTCTCTCTCTCTCTTCCCTTCTTTCTTTCTTTCTCTTTCCTTCCTTCCTTCTTTCTCTCTCTTTCTTTCTTTCTTTCTTTCTTTCTTCTTTCTTTCTTTCTTCCTTTCTTTCTTTCTTCCTTTCTCTCTTTCTTTCAGATGGGGCTCTCACTATGTCCTTGAACTCCCTATGTAGCTTAGGCTGGCTTCAAATTCAAGATCCTCCTGCCTCAACCTCCTGAATATTGGGAGAACAGGTATAGACAGCCATGCCTAGCTTAAGAATGTTTTCTTCCTTTCCTCTCTCCCTTCCTTCCTCCTTCCTTCCCTCTTTTGTCCCTTCTTTCCCCTTCTCTCTTTCTTACATTCTCTCTCTGTTTCTTGTACTGGGAATTGAATTTAGGGCCTCAAACTTCCTAGGCAGTTACTTCACCAGGCAAGAATATTTTCAATGGAACAGTGTCTACCTCAAAAATGATATTAGGTAGACTGCAGGGATTTGTCCCAGTAACATCACTCTTAAATCTTGCCAATGACCTATTAGAATTCAGATCATCCCAGGACAGGGAAATCTCATCACCCTCATTCAGTGACACTAGTTGGTATAAGCTTAAAATAGCTAAATAACTATTTGAATGTCTCACAGGAATTCCAAATTTAACATGACCAAAATGGAATATTTTATTTTCCCTGGGAGGCATAGTCCCTTCCCATTAACCAACATTTCTGAGTTTTGAAACCAGAAACAATAAGACTTCTCAACCTTAGGACTAGTGACATTTTGGCCAAATAATTTTTTATTCTCTCTCTCTTTCTCTCTCTGTGTGTTTGGGGGTATGAGACACCAAAACCCCCCTGTATGAAAGCCTTTGCTCTATATTCCAGCCTTTCCTTCACTCATCACTTTCTGCTCCCAATGATATCCAATCCACTCACAAATCTGTGCAGTGCAACTTCCGATCATATCTCACATGTCCACTGCTATCTCTAGGGTGCCTATAACTCTTTACCATTCAACTGGGGACACTTTCAAGAGTGAAATAGTATGTTTCTGATAATTGAGTTGAGAAAAGAGGCATAAATGGGACTCCACAGCATGCAGTCAGGCTCGGTATCACCCTAGCCCAAACCTCCACCATCTGAAGCCTGAGCTAATACAATATCCAACCCTCCACTAGTTTTACAGCTTCCAATGTTGCCTTCTTACAGTGGTCACAGTGCATTTAAAAAGCAAAATGTAGGTGAGATAATGTCACTTTCCTCTAGTCTACCATCATGTTGAGAATAGAGTACCAACTCTGACTCCAGCTCAGCCCTGCTTGGTCTCTGGTCTTGGCTCACAGCACATTCCCCAGGACCCACCATTCTCTGTCCTCCCTGACCTTCCCAGAGCAGCAAGCTCTGCCCACCCTCAGGGCTTTCTGTTTCTTACACTCTGTCTAAATGTTCCTGTCTACTTTAACCTGGCTGACTCCCTTCTGACTTTTTAATCCACCTCCTCAGAGAAACGTCCCTGAAGCCCTTCCATCCCTAACATCATGTAGGCTATCACACCTCTCCCCACTGATTTCCTTCTCACTTATCTGCTTATTTATCTTTGTTTTTTTTTTCACTTTGTTGCTAAGGTATGACATACCCACAATGTCACTAATTCATGATGTAACTAACCTTAAGTATGTGACCCCATGAATTTGAACATTAGTGGACATACCTATAGCGCCAGCCCAGACTAGGAGGAATAATGCTAGAATCCTAGAAAGAAAGTTCCCTTGTGCCCTTTTGCAGCAATGAACAGACAACCACTAATTTCATGTCTGTCTCTATTTACGAGCCTTGCTTGCTGCCATCTGTGACTTGTTTGTTCACTTGTTAGTTTTTCTGATCCTCCCACTAGAATGCAAGCCCCAGAAGAACAGGGACTTTGCTTATGTAAGTCCAATGTCTAGTTCAGTTCTGACACATAATACTCAATATAACTTTGTTAACTAAATAAAACAATCTGACTTTGTTTCTATACCGTTTGAAGAATCCTTGTATATAACTCCTTCAATATGAATCATTAAAATTGGTAAAATCAAGATTCAGGTAGTGTGTGTGTGTGTGTGTGTGTGTGTGTGAGTGTGTGTGTGTTTACACAGTGTCAAAGAACCACTCAGTAATTGCTCTTTGCACAGGTCTACCGTACACTTAAGATGAATCCTAGGACTGGAGGCATAGCTCAAATGGTAGAGTGTTTTGTCTACCAAGTGTGAGGCCATGAGTTCAAAGCCCAGAACCTCTTAAAAAAGGGGGGAGGGTGGAGAAAGAGAGAGAGAGGAAGAGAGACAGAGAAAGGGAATACATTCTTGAATTCTTGGGGGGAAGGGTGAACTTGTTCAAAGAACACTGTATGCATGTAAGGAATTACCACAATGAAATCCCTTCATATTATTAATGTATGCAAATTCAAAAATAAAATAAAATAAAAAAAAGATGAATCCTAGCAGAGACTCCAATTGGAAGTCTTCACAAGAAAGAAGTAATTCATTTTCTTATTTCTGTATTCTTGCACAAAATTCCTAAAATAATTGATTCAAAACTTTGGAGAGGGTGCAGAAGACCAACATAAAAATATTTTCTTCTGAATTAGTAAATTTCAGCCAACAGCCTAGTTAAGTTTCTAAAGACAAGATCTTTAAATTGCAAATAAATTTGATTTTTATAGGTGCAAAAAGGAAATAAAAACTTGGGAAATAGAAAAGTAGCTGAAATATGAAATTCAGTCCTTAGAATTTGATGAAAATGTGCTTTTCCACCACAGATATAATTGATTATGAAAGATTTTATGAATCGGTGCAGCAGCTCTTTGGTCCCGAAGTGAAGAGTCAAGATGCGAAATGCTTTTATAGGAAACTCTGCAACAACCCGGATGCATCTATCGACTGGTGTGAGGTACTCCAGGCTCATGCTTGTGATATTGTCTTTGCTCAGAATAAACAGTTAAAGTGTTACTCCCACAGATCTTAAATCCACAATGTGTACCTAGCATGTTTTCATGCTACAGCTGTCAAGACATGACCACCACCCACAATATAAAAGGAGCAGACTCTTAAATACTTTTAGGCCAATCTGCCAATTAGTTGGGCTGGGTGCCGGTGGCTCATGCCTCCTAGCTACTTAGGAGGCAAAGATCAGGAGGATCATAGTTGGAGGTCAGCCCAGGCAAAAACAAGATCCTATCTCAAAAAATACCCCCCCCCACACACACACAGCTGGTGGAGTGGCTCAAGTGTTAGAGCACCTGTCTAGTAATCGTAAGTTCAAACCCTAGTACTGCAAAGAAAAAAAAAGGACTATTAACAATAACTAAGATTTTTAAGCACCTTCATCTCATTCTAAATGAAATATTTCTTTTCAATAATGTCAATGTATACCAATTTTCAGTGTGTCCAAATCATTAACATAAGTGAAAGAGGAGAAGGAAGAGGAAGCAGAGATCAGGAGGATCGAGGTTTAAAGTCAGCCCAGGGAAACAGTTTGAGAGACCCTATCTTGAAAATACTCAACACAAAAAAGGGTTGGTGGAGTGGTTCAAATGGTAGAGTGCCTGCCTTGCAAGTGTGAGACCTTGAGTTCAAACACCAGTATAGCCAAAAGAAACAAAAAGAGCAGGAAGAGGAGGCTATGACTGATCACTTCTGTCATTCCTTGAGTTTTTCTGATTGGTATATTACTCAAAAAATTACATTCATACAGAGTAATTAAACAACTTTTGAAAATTATCCCACCCTCTTTAGAAAATCAGTAACTACTATAGATAAGAGAAAAAGCAATGATTTAAAGAATTTGACCATCACATTTAGTAAGCTGATAAATATGTGTAAATGGAACTTGGAATGCACAACATAGGAAAAGTATTTCTTGAGTTGAGCTACATAGGGCACCATTTCAAAATTGATGGTGTTATGCTAAAAAGAACATGTCAACAAACTCCCACAGGATAAAATTAGAAATTTATTATAAAAGATAGCCTAAACCTATAATCCAGTGAAATAATAATTACTATTGGGAAAAATTACAGATGAGAAAAGCATCTACCACAGCTTTCAAGAATACATAATTCCCATGTTATGTTAATTTTATTTATAACTTAGGAAAAGCTACCCAACTGATTTTATGAGGTTAAAGTAAAACCGGGTTGAACAAAGAAACTTCAAGTCGATATTACTTATGACTATAATAAACACTAAAGTTCTAAATATAATTTTAACAAATTAATCCTGCTAGTACTATAAAAATTATTTCCAAGTAGAATTTACTCCAGAAAAGTGAGGATGGTTCAATATTAGAAAAGCTACTAACAGATTTCTTCCAATAAGTTAGGAGAAAAATAACACTACAATCTTAAACTTTATCCCTTAGCCATCCCTCAGACCAGGTGCACACACCTGTGATGTGCAGCCCATGTTATGGGAATGCACCTGTGTGCCTGTTCCTGGAAACAGGCCCATGGCCCTTAGAGCAGGGAATTTTGGGATCCCAGAATCTAGGTCATAGTTTAAAAGCATTGGCATGAACTCTTGGTAGACAAGGGGGCCCCTCAAACCTCATGAAAAAAAGCTAGACTAAATCTTTGCTGCCCAGTGACCACACATTTGCAGGCTAGTTAAATAAAAGCTCAGCTTGCAAAACCAGTAGGTATCGACTGGACAGGTTGAATATAGAATATTCTGTCATCATGGTGTGTCCCATTGGACAGTGCTGCTCTGAAAGCATAGGTCTGACACTTGGGTCTCCAGTGGAAGGGTGACCGTAGGAGGGCAGCTTGGGTGCATTGCCTGCCAGGATCTGGGCTCTATCACGCTGCATTAGTCTCTTGGTTCTCTCACATTTATTGGCAACTTGAATTCTACTAAACTTCCAGTGGATATGATCCAGAATCACGTCCTCATTGTTCTCTATTGCCTTGTGAATATTTCTTATAAATTCTATGATTAATGTGGCAAATTGCTAATGTGATAGTTTTGATCCACTAAAAATAGGAAAATAAATGTATAACAAAAGCTTCATGCCAATATAAAAAAAGTGTGCACTTAAGGAGATGAAAGAAGTGTGCTGATATGACATTACCCACTTCAGGAAACAAGAGCCTAATATATCCCATAAACACCAGCCATGGGACCCAGTACATGGTGTTAACTGAGAATTTGGCCTCTGAATGTAAGGAAATAGGATTCTATGGTGAAGCTGGAGTTTTGGCCATAGAGATGCAGAAAGTGAGCCTCATTCTCTCTGACATCTGCTCCTTCTCATTCTCTTTCCAGTTAGAAAACCATAGTGATCTTACATTTGCAAAAGTTGTCTTTTTTTTGTACATTGTCAGGTTCTCATTTAATCTTTACAAACAGATTCACGATGGAGATTCTGCACTGTCCAGATTCTGCATGATCCTTTTATTATAATAATAATAATGGTGACAAAAATGAAAGAGAAAGGTTAACTGATCTGAAGAACACAGAAAGCTGGTTTGGGTGTGAAGCTGAGATTTTCTGTTTATTAATTACATGTAACATCAACCTGTTCCATCACTTGGGGTCCTATAAGTCTCTTTCCCCTCATGCTAGGGTTTTTTATTTAGGACCTTGCACATGGTAGGCAGGCACTCTGCCATTTAAGCAAAACCACCCCCAGTCCTTTTGCATTTAGTTATTTTTCAGAAAGAGTCTCATGCTTTTTGCCTGGACTGTTCTCGGATTATGCCTCCCACATAGCTGAGATTACAGGCATATGCCACCATGCCCAGTTTGTATGTTGTAATGTGGGTCCTGCTGACTTTTTTGCCCAGGCTGGCCTTAAACTGAGATCATCCTGATCTCCCAAGTAGCTGGGATTACAGGCATGAACCACCATGTATGGCCCTCTAGAAATCATGAACGCTTAATAGGACAACTTGTGACCAGCCTCTGACATAACTTTATGTACGTGGAAAGTCACCTGAAGTTTGAGGAAATGGTACGGGAAGACTCAGCTTTTATTGTTCTGTCGTTTTTCTCACAGAGGATCTGTGCCAAGGCTCTGTAGGCAGTTCTATTTCAAGTTCTGTGACCTGACCTTGCTGGGCGGCAGCTATGGCACCCGCGCAAGGAACTAATGACAACTCACTCAGCTCAGGAACTAATGACAACTCACTCAGCTCAGGAAGGACTACCTGTCTTTAAAAACAACTCACCAGTGAATATCAGTCTATCAGGAAATAAGAACTAGAGTCATTCTTCTTCTTTTTAAAAATTTTTTTACAGTACTGGGGTTGGAACCCGGGACCTCATGCATACTAGGCAAGCACACCAGATTTCTTCTTTTAAAGTCAGGCACAGCGGTACCAATCTGATTCCAAATATAAGCCATGAAAAGTTCCACTTTCTTTTTCTAGGTTTTAGATGCAAACACACCTGGCAAATTGTGAAATCTTAGAGCCTGCACCTGCCTTTCAGTGCATGGTGAGAAAAATTAAACAGAGTAAGTGTGATGGGCACAGGTCTCTAAAGCTGACGAGCAGGCAGTCTGGGGCACACACCATCCCAGTGTGCCCAGTGGTGGCTGTCCCCACCACTCCATGTTAGTCTGGGTTGCCAGTGAGCATCTCATGACCTTTTTTTCTTTTTAGGGGCACAATACAAACTAATGCAAACAAGAATCATATGACACCACACAGTTTGCCAATAATTGTGGTCCTCCTCCAAAGTAAATTTAAAATGAGTTATTATAAAGCTAAAATTCTATTTGCTAGCTTCAAAAGTGTTAAAAGAATGTTTTAGGGTAGGTTAAAAAATAAGTCACATGCAGAATTTTGTTTTATTCTACCTACTTTTCATTTTCTGCGTGTGTTCTACAATACATCTATGTTCCTTATGTAATCAGGGATTTTTAAAAAGTGATTTAAAATATTATTAGTCATCTGGGCTAAGGGTGTGGCTCGAGTGGAGGCCACTGGCTGGCAAAGGTGAGACCCTGAGTTCAAACCCTGGTGCCACCAAACAGACAGGAATCGCTTCAAGCATGGAGCAAGACCTACTGGTACTCTAATAGTCACAGCATGTCTAACAGTCACAAAACACTCAAACCACAGCACAGGCACCATCACAAACTGAAATTTTAAATGTTGCAAGAGAAATCTGAGATCTTTGAGGCTACCATTCATCACAAGAAAATGAGATATTTTCTATCCTTTAATCAAGTTATTTGCTGGAAACAATCAAAATGTTAAACTTCTGCTATTTCTTCTGAAGTTTACCTGGTACGGTATCTCAAATTTTTACTAAGTTTTAGCAATTTGATATATTTAGCATCATTTGGAAGCTATTTGGGGAAGTGTTGTAATATCATGTTATAATCTCAGTAGCAAAATTGACTGTTTCTGTAGGAGCAGACGTCCTGCATAAGGACATCTACCTGCATGTGGCCAGGACTATAAACACATACATGCAAAGTGTGTTACTGATGTGTTGTCTGGGCAAGCAGGAAAGGTGCTTAGTTGATGATTTCGAACTAGCAAAGGGACACCTGGGTTGTGTTTTCCTGTAGGGTTTCTGGAAACATTGGGAATTACAATCCTCAAATGTTGACGTTGATTGAACTCCTGCCTGGCACTTGGGGCCATCTAAGGGCTTTCTCGTCTTCCCGATTACTAAGTAAACTACTCACACACTTCCCCATTTAATCCTCACAGCACTGCTGACAGTGGGTAGGGGCTATTACTCATTATCCTTGTTTTCCAGATGGGGAAAGCTTGGGCACAGAGAAAATAAGGACTTTGCTTGAGGTCACTGACTGACTAGCTGACAGTAGAACCAAGATTTGGACCATTTCTAAGGCCTACTGCGTATAGTACTGGTGAAACTGGATTGTTGATCCCGAATTCATGTCCTGGCAAAGTTGCTGATTGAATACATGGG